GGGAGGTTGGTTGAACGAAAAGTAGATCTTCGGTCCCAAAAGTTTGGGCACCCCTGATTTAAATGAATGCCTATTAATTTGTATGGTGTATTTTTTCCCTTCCTCTCCTGTGCTTGCCGCTTTTCTTTTTCCTCCTCCTCCTTGCATCTCCTCCTCATGACCACGCCACTCCAAACTTTCTCCGTTCTCCCTCTCCCGATCCATTCGCACGCCGTCTTCCCCACAACCATCCCGCCCGACCCCCCCTCTCCTCTTTTCCATTGCTCCTAGGAGGATGTGAAGTCTCTCACCGCTCATATCATTGAGAATTATTGGAAGGCTCTGGAGGACGTGGACTATGTCCAGACCTTCAAGGGCCTGAAGCTGCGCTACGAGCAGCAGCGCGAGAGGCAGGACAACCCCAAACTAGACAGGTAGGGAGACCGGCTTCACGTTTTACCCAAATGATAGCAAAATCTCAGGCATTTCAGTACATATTGTAGTGTCGGATGTAATTGGACAAAGGTCAGGTTCAAGGTCAACTCGCTTTAGTGAGGATGTTAAATGGTATTTAAAAAAAAAATAATACTAATAACTGCCTCACTGGTTAGCATGCGCTCCATCCTGAGGAACCACCGCTTCCGTCGCGACGCGCGGACCCTGGAGGACGAGGAGGAGATGTGGTTCAACACGGACGAGGAGGACCTCGAGGACGGTGAGGCCGTCGTACGCCCCTCAGAAAAGATGAAGGGCGAGGAGGACCTCATGGAGCCCATAAGCAAGTTCATGGAGAGGAAGAAATGCAAGTCGCTTTCCTATTTATTTATTTATTTTTTAATTTCTGAACACACACAAGATGTTTTTGATTATTGTCCATATTTTCCTTTCCAACTTTTGTCCCTATTACAAAGTGTTGCCCTCTCCGCCTGCAGTGAAAGAAGCAGATGACAAGGAAGTTCTGGGGAAGTCGACCTTGTCCGGCAGGCAGAACCCGAGCTTCAAACTCTCCTTTTCGGGCTCCACCAAAAGCAGCCTGTCGAGCCCGCCGTCATCCGCCTCCCTGAACCCGGGTTCTCCCGGCTCGCCAGAGTCTCCGAGCTCGGGAGCGCGCAGCTCAGGTCCCACCCCGGCGGTAACCACAAAGGTATGCTAAAAGAACGAGCAGTTTGATTGAGATTAAGATCCAGCAGATTGGGTTGACACCCCTCTCGACCCAAACACCAAATATTGTTTTTATTTTTGCTACTTTGTCGAATCAAAAAAAAATGCAAATCTCATGTCTTCTCCAGGGAGGATTAGTGGGACTGGTTGACTATCCCGATGACGATGAAGACGAGGAAGAGGACGAGGAGGAGGAAGGAGAGAGTAAAGACGACCCTCTGCCACCCTCGAAAAAGTCCAAACTGAACTCCTAAAGGCGCGCCGCCGCCTTCCGTTTGTGCTCCATTCGGACGTTTTATGAAGATGGGACTTCCTTCTTCAGCACGGGAACGATGAACCTGCACCAAAATCGAATGAATTGAAAAGCCCCCGCTCTGCCGGCGGCTCAACGAGAGGAGTCGGACGCCAACAGATTCTTCCTCTTCATCCCCCCTTGGACCAGCCCGATTCAAATAAGTGCCAATCAGGAGAGCAAAGGAGGAAGTCGCGTCTGAGAGGACAGACGGGCGGGCGGGCGGACGTCAAGTCACGGCAGAGGAGCGGCTGCACGGTGAGAAAGCACTGTTGGAATGAAGCTGACGGAGGAAATGACCACATGAAAAAAAAAATGGATATGCAGACTGAAATCCCCCAAGAGCTTGGAGCACTTGGATCGTAACCCGCCACTGCCCCCTCACCCACTGACCCCTCAACCACCCACTCAGGGAAGGACATCATTTGGCCAAATGGTTCAGCCAGTTCAGACCCACACACTCACCTCCCGCAGCCCCTCTCCAGAATCCACTTCTTCTTTTTTTCTTCCTCTCCTCCTTATGTTGTTTTGTGTCCTAAGTTTAGGCATAGAGGACCAGGGCAAAAGAGAGCTGTCTTTTCTTGTAGTTTGATGATGTCATCAGTGTCGTCCTTCTCCGGCAGACAATTTCTCTGAAGAGAAGAGAAACAAAAGCCAGCATTTTCTTTCAGCGTTTCATTTTTCTCTTTGTCTCGCAAGCCATTCTCCCGTTTCGTTTTCGGGGTACCCCACCCACCCCCACCCCCTCTTTTCGTAAATGAGGACAAAAAGAGACCTGCCTTTAAATGTTCAGGATGTTTTCAGTCACACTTGAACAGGTTTTTAAAGACCTCAGTTAGGTGGCTAGTTTTACCATTTTTGCCCTTTGAAACTGCAGATTTTTTGGAGAAATTTGTAATCCCATCTTGATTAAAGATTGAGTGGAATTGTAGATATGATGTATTTTGTCATATCTTCTCATTTTGTTTCTTTTTACATGAGTGTACACTTAGTTGTTCGGAATACTTGGGACCATTAAAAATAACTTTGCTGTCAGGTGTCCTACTACCGCTTGTCCTCACGTGTCTCCTTGCCGTGGCGGAGTTTGTCCAGGAGTTATTAGTGTTGCTCCACTGGACCCGAAAATCATGAACGACCGTGACAACCATCACAAACTAGCAAAAAATGACACTCCTGTGGAGTTTCCCCCCCCCCTCCTGATCTTGACCTATTTCAAATTTCAAATTTACAAGAATGGGATTGCAAGTACCCTCCATGTCCACCAGGTGGCAAACTTGTCCTGCAAGAGAAGATATAAGCGTCAATCATGCGTCGTTTCATGGGTCATTTAAGTTCCACCTCGGGGTGAGCTCAGCTCGACAGGAAAGTGTCTTCAAAATCTCGACAGCAGCTTCCATGGTGATAGTGTTTATATAAGTCGAATCGTCTTTAGACCTCCAAAAAGAGAATCCTCATTGTGAAAGTAATTTTCCCGCCTTTCCTCTTCGTCACTGCTGTGCCAAAAACGACTCAGAGGGAAGAAAGAAACCAAATAGGCAATGTTCCATCTAAGGCGGATGTATTGTAAGGCACAAAAAAAATGGACAAAATTGCAACGTTGAAGATTTTTTTATTTTTTTATTGCAGTGCGTCTGTTTAGAAGGTCAAACAATCATTTGAGAATTATAGTTTATTACACATTGCTACGTGACCTTTTTTTAGATATATAACTAATACTAAAATTAAAAAACTCATTAAAAAAAGATGCTCTAAAAACCATAACTGAATTTAAAAAAAATAGTGCAGCAATTTTTCTTCCTCTGTATGAAACCAAATGCCACATTCCAACATTCCTTCCAACCCTGTTCCCCACAATAGGCCTAAAATTATTAATGCTTAGGTGCATTATGGCCTTCGACCAGTTCTTAATTAAAAGTCAACAGCGGAGGAGCACATTGCTCATATGTCACACATATGCCTTTCACATGAAAGTCATCATGAGACAAAAGAAGCCCTCTCTACCACCGTGTGTGTTTGTGTGATCTTCTTCCTCGCCTCCGCTCCAGCACGCTGCAGCCATCTCTCCCCGTTGCCAAGAAGCCGCGACCGTCCCGGCCTGACCCGCCTGTATGTCTGCCAGTCTGCAGGGTCACCAACAGAGACATCGCCGTTGCGCCACTTCCTGCTGGGCCTGTGAAAAGCATGTTTGACACTTCTTTTTGATCGACTCAGTTCCATGGCATCAACCCTGTCTGTCACATTAACTGGCCCCGGATTAGACTGGTTGTTTTGAAAAAAACAAAACAAAACCTATGTATGTATCTGCCTACCTATCCATCCATCCTAATCTTTTGTTTCTGTGGCATTTGCTTCATTTAGTGTGCGAGAAGAGGCAAGAGATTTGGCAGGACAATATGTCTTGCTCATCACGCTCCGATCATCAGACAGTTCATGGCTGAGAAAAAACATGATTATGCTGGAGCATCCTCCCAACTCACCCGACCTGACTCTGATTTTTTCCCGCTTTCCCAAGCTCAAGGGGTCATCAAGGGCACCCATTGTGAAGACAGTGAAGGCATCAACATGGCCGTGACGACGGAGGTGCAGAGGCTGGAAAAATACTTCCACAAGGCTGGGAAAGTATGTTAGCTTGTGATTTAGATTTGATATATTTCGTGATATCAGCCCTGGAACTTTTTCTGACGTCATATATTGTTTTCAATTATATAAGGATAAGCAACTCAGACAATGGCTGGATGAATAGAAATATTTATTAGGGGAAAAAGGCAATGCGATAAATCAAAACGTCAAGGATTTTTCACAGTAGAATAGATTCGATTTTTTCGATAACCTGTACCGGTCCTGATCGATAACCTCGACTCTTTGGAGAAAGTAGCAAATTTCGCGATTTCAAGGAACGCCTTTCCGAATGGTGTGATCGGTGGCAAATAAGGAAGAGGGGAAAAATGACAGCTGGTTTCAGCGTGCTTCATCTGATTGGTTGATTACATTGGCGGGAATGTAATCAACCAATCAAATGACTTGTTCGGCGAGCTCACGAGCAAGGCTATGGGTGACGTCAAAATTCGCGACAAGCTTGAATGGTTAGTCGAAAAGTGCCAGCTGCGTTTTGACACGTCATTAGAAAAGTATTGGAAACATACTTGGTCGAATGTACACAAACTTAATGGACTGTGTAAAGTACACACAAACCATGCACTATATCCAAAACGTAATATAATATTGGAATCCCGCAGTCGAACCACTCGACCAGAATACGAAATCGGAAACGTCGTGCACGTCGAAACTTCGGAAGCGCGGCCTAGGTTATGTCAACACCGGCACAAAGTCTATCCTCACGGACCCCCCCTACGAGCCTCGGCGTCGTGACGGACAATAACGTGTGTTTCTCCGACACAAAGTCTTCTCTGTGTCCGCCGAAGTTCCCCCGACGTCCGTTGAGGCTTGCAGCCGCGCACGCCCGCTGCGTCGCGTGATTAATCACCGCGTTCCACGACTCGAGCCGGCCGACTCTCCAGGTGAAAGTGGAGGCCAGGACACGACCGACGGGACCCGACGGGACACGACCGTGGAAGACGGAGGAGGAAAGCCATCATCCGTCCCATCCGTGGAAGACGGAGGAGGAAAGCCATCATCCGTTCCATCTGGTGCACATTACCAACGAGGTAAGATACAGTCACACACAGAAGCCAACCCCACGCCAGTTTTCACGAACCGACCCGTCATGGTGGCCGACTACTTTTGATAGCTTGACAGCTTCCAGTGAAAAGGGCAGAAAATGAAATTCTCCCGCTGTGCAAAATGTTTTAAAGCTTGGTCAAACTGCCACTTTGATTGTCATGTTTTGGGTTGTGGTGGGAAGCAATGAAATGCAAATGCATATTGTGCTGCAGTGTTTTTTTTTTTTTGGGCTGTGTGTACCTTGTTTAAGTAGAACTGCACCTTGCAAGTTGAATTTGTTATGTGGACCAAGCTTTGAACCATTTGTTGTCATGAACGGGAGAGTACAGGGATCTCAAACTCAATTAATGTAAGGGCCGCTGGAGATCAGAGTCTGGCAGTTATCAGTATTCCACAAAAAAGTGTTTCAAGCATTCAAAAAAAGTACTATTCAGTCTTTTCAACCTTTATCAATAACAGTTTAGAATCAAAACGTGAACGGCCCTTCAGCACGAGGGGTAACAGGATATATTTTTCTTCCCCTTAGTGTCAATTCTGAATTACGTTTCGCTGAAAGCTGTCATCAGCCAGGAAAAAAAACACTGTTGGTAGTTTGGAGTCATTCCCTGCGCATTTGTGGTTCACTATTTGCAAAGGTTGGTGCGGTTTGATAGAGCTGATGTCACAAGATGGTGCCAAAGCTTTGCCTTTTAGTACAGTAGGAATTGGTGTTAAGGAAGTATGTAAATGACCTGTGATGACTTTGACAGCTTCATGTTGTTGAAAAAGTGAGACCTCCTGCAAATAGCAAATATTTGCAAATTGTCATTGCCCGGCCCCCCGGCCCCCCTTGCCTTTTCGCATTAATGCTTGGTGGAGTTTGATGCTTCAATGCTATGCAATAGTTCTGGTGACCTGTTATCGCTCTCTGTCAATCTCAAATCAAACTTTTCCCATGGCTGATGTCAGGAAGTGGAAGAATTTGTGGCTGATGTGCCGTCACTAATGTTAAGTGGCTTGTTTTGTTGCCTCGGTGCGGGGACAGGAAACATGGATGTGAGTTTAAGAGCTCTATAGGCTGCATGTGAAATGGAAATGTCACAGTGATAAAGACTGAACCTTCTATACCCTCTGCGCGTGTGTGCGTGTGCGCGATGGGTCGGAAGTACAGCACACTGATGGGGGGGCCCGCCATAAATCCACGCCATGAGTTGCAGATAGTAGCGGCGGCGATAGAACTATGATTTATAGCTTTGTGTCTTCCTAGTAGTGGCATGTTTTCATTTGAAGTTGAACGTCTAAGATCTACCGGCAGTGCATTCAGACGAGGGGTGGGATTTAAAAAAAAAAAAATCGACTGACTCAGTGCACAAAAATGTGTTGACTTAAAAATGTCTGCCTCGAAACTATCATTCAGATTTTTAAAACCAGACTTGTGGCACCCCGGAACCAATTTTTGGCCACTTCCGTGTTTGTCAATTTGAGTAAAAAGTTTCGTACACAAATTGTCCATTGAATCATTTTACTCTTTTTGCATCTAGGCGCCTCAGCTGAAAGAAAAATCCTCATAAAAATATCCGAGGGCAAGTAGGAGACAAAATCGCGATGCCACACAAGCGATCGAATCCGCCTCGTCGCCGCCGCCGCCGCGAGTTAGCATGAATGAAAGCCTTTTAAAGGTGTCTGTTTTCACTCTGTAAACATGCGAATCGGGCGCTCGGTTCAGTGGGAGTTGAAACATGTGGGACCGGTCTCGCGCACGTTGGCCCTCTGGTCACTTTTTTCAGGATTACCGCTGTGTACATTCAAGTCACTATTCAGCCACTCAAATCAAACCTCCGCTTTAGCTTACGGCGGGTAACCGAAAACTAACTAAACACCAACGTTTCCCGAAATACAGTAGCAGTCAAAGCTCTGTTTGACAGAGCGAATATCGCTCTATAATCAACATTTTTCTTTTACCCCCCCCCCTCCCCCCTTCTTTCTTTCTTTTTGGTCCGTACAGCTCGGCCTGATGGCTCCTGCTGCTCGGACTGTCTGAGACTATTGATGTTGTCTCGACGTCACGCGGCGTTGCCGCACGTCATGCCAGCTTCATCGCGGCACTCCGCTTTTGCGTGTGTGGTCAACAGGCGACGTGGGGGCGCCTTTCGAGGGGCGTGGTGGGGGTCAAGATCCGTTTGGACCCAAGCTGGTGCCACACCATGTGTCTATTCAGGGTCTGTTTATTGAATGATCAGATTTAATGTGTGTCTTCCCTGGCTGACCTTGAACCGTAGAAGTCGTACTTCGTGACAGAGCGGTGTAAAATTTTGATCGAAACGTCCTGGAAAAAAAAAACTCCTTCAGTTTCAATTGGACTTTCTACTCCTCACGTGATTCCGAAG